TCCTTCCTTCCTTCCTTCCTTCCTTCCTTCCTTCCTTCCTTCCTTCCGGCTGGCGTTAGTGGTGTCTCTGAAAAAGGAAGAAAGGGTGTAAAATTTGGTTTTGTTTTCTTCTTTCTTTCTTTCTCTCTTTTTTTTTTTAATTTCACAGTTATTGACCACTGTCAATAACTGCTTTTTGGGTGTGTATGTTTTTTTAAATTGTTGTTTGTGGTTTTTTGTCTTTGGTGCTAGAGATTAATTGAATGCTGTACCACTAAGCTATACCCAAGCCCTGCTTTTGGTATTCTTAGTGATTGCCAGCTCTGATTCAATTGTATTATCACTAGCGTCAGCACTTTTAAAATATCAGTTTTTGTTCTTATAAAATCAACAGTACTTACAACTCAAGGTAATCCTGCTGAAATTGAATTCCTGCCAGGTAGGCATTGCCACCCTGTGGTAACTCAAAAGTTTATTCATCAATATATGAAAGACCAAATTTTAAACAGAGAATGTGATTTAGGAATATTAGTATATAAAAACGTTAAACTTGAGCACTTTATTCTGAATTTGGAGTAAGCATGTATTAGTGCATAGTAAAATTAATTGTTAGGAGAAGATGGAGTGATAGTTCCTAAGAAATTGGTGATGATATTCTTTAAATGTAATTTATTTTAGGGGTCGCAGATGGTGTAGGAGGATGGAGAGACTATGGAGTTGACCCATCTCAGTTCTCAGGGACTTTAATGCGAACGTGTGAACGTTTGGTAAAAGAAGGAAGGTTTGTACCAAGTAATCCCATTGGAATTCTCACCACAAGCTACTGTGAGCTGCTGCAAAATAAAGTACCTTTGCTTGGTAAGTAGATACCCTTTGTGTTACCTCTTTAAAGAGTCATTATATGGTTAAAAGTAAAATCAAGAGAGTGATTTACCAGTCTAACTTCGTTCTAAGGCTCTTCCTACTAGGCAGAGTTTGATAAAGAATCTTTGGTTTAACCAAAATTCAGAATACTGCTTGAAGGGAGTGTAAAAAGGTTTAGCAACATTGGAAAACAATTTGGTATTATCAAATAAAATTAATCATGAATGTACAGTATGCCCCAGCAATTCTTTTAGGTATTTATGATAGATGTGAGAAACTCCTGTGCAACTGTATGCCAAGAGCTAGATACAGGGATGTTCTAGTAGCATTGTTGTTAATAGCAGAAAATTGGAAACAGCCTAAAAATGCATCAGTAGTAGAAAGATGCATTGTGAAAAGGAACAACTTAAAGCTGCTTGCAGTACTCAGAAACACATTGTGAAGGTTAAAGAGGACTTTGCAAATTACCACCTGACAGTTAGTTCTATTCCATGTATTTCATGTACAGAACACAAAAAGTTAGAACTGTATTGTTCATGGATTCTAAAATAAGGTAAAAGAAGAAAGAAAAGCAAGAGATTATAAAATTTAAAATATAATTCTGTCCTAGGAAGGAAGAAAGGGTCTAGGATCTGGCCTGCAGAGTTCAGGTGATTGCCTGTGGGGAGTGGAAGTTGTAGAACCTCCAGGCTACTAACATTTGATTAGTCCATGAAATAGTTTGGCACAAATTAGATCCCTGTTAACCTTATATTAGGAAACTTAAAAACAGACACCTCTCGTTTGATTATCTAGTATGCTAATGTAGTATCTTTTGGCCAGCTTTCTGCATTTGTTTGTTAAATGGTTTCCTGGGAACTTAGCCTTTGGAGCATGTTCTCAGAAAGGGTGTTATTAAGTTTCTGTTTATTGCCAGCACTTTGTGGTTATTAGAAGACCTCCCACCCAGTCACCATCCACACTTAAAATCAGGCTCTGTTCAGTGTTTCTGAAGATTGCCATGTTGTTGTAGAATTTGCCTTCAGTTTAAATCCTTTTTAGGGAGGGTTCCTTTTAATCACTCTGCCATCTTCAGTGTTCTCCATGCTGTGCTTAAATAGCTTGTTTTCCTTCTAACTGAAGAGAAATCATGTCTTGCAGTTTCAATATATACTGCTTTTCTTAATATCTCTTGTTTTGAACATGCAATCTGGAAAATGCTTGGCACAGCAAAACATTGTAGATTTATTTCCAGTATTTCTTTGTCAATTTGCTATATGACTTTGGGCAAAGCATTTAACTGTGACCCATTGCCTTCAAAGTTTAAATGGAGAGAGAGAGAGAACACCCAGACAGAAATTCCAGGGGGCTGCTGACTCCTATGTTCCTATGAGTGCCTCTGCTGGCACCTTCCCACCCCCACCCCCATCCTTCATTTTGATTTGTGACAGCCAATTACAAAACAGCTATCTTGTTTTGTTTTTTTATTTTTTTGTTAAAAATTTTTTTAATATAGTTGTAGATGGACAGAATGCCTTTGTTTCTTTTTATTTGGTGCTAAGGATCAAACCCAGTGCCTCACACATGCTAGGCAAGTGCTCTGCCACTGAGCTATCTTGTTTGCCCCAGCCCCTATCTTGTTTTTCTTTTTCTTCTTCTTCTTTTTTTTTTTTTCTGTACTTTAAAAGCTTTGGGGCGGGGGCTGGGGATGTGGCTCAAGCGGTAGCACGCTTGCCAGGCATGTGTGCGGCCCGGGTTCGATCCTCAGCACCACATACAAACAAAGATGTTGTGACTGCCGAAAACTTAAAAATAAATATTGAAATTCTCTCTCTCTCTTCTCTCTCTCTGTGTCTCTCTCTTAAATTTAAAAAAAAAAAAAAAAAAAAAAAAAAAAAAGCTTTGGGGCGGACTGGGGTTGTGGCTCAGGTCTGGGGTTGTGGCTCAGTGGTAGAGCACTTGCCTAGCATGTGTGAGGCACTGGGTTCAAGCCTCAGCACCGCATGTAAATAAATAAATAAATAAAAATAAAGGTCCATCAACAACTAAAAAAAAAACCATGAAGCCCTGGGCACCTGCTCTTTTTAAAAAAAAAAAAAGAAGAAGAAGAAGAAGCTTGAAGCTTTGGGGCACTGTAGCGTACATCTGTCATCCCAGAGGCTGAGGTAGGAGAATCACGAGTTCAAAGCCAGCTTTAGCAACAGCAAGGCACTAAGCAACTCAATGAGACCCTGTCTCTAAATAAAATACAAAGAAGGGCTGGGGATGTGGCTCAGTGGTCAAGTGCCCCTGAGGTCAATCCCTGATACCCACCCGCTCCCCCCAAAAAAAGCTTTGAGATTTTGCAGGTCTTTTTTCCTACCTCTGCTTCTCTTCCTGTTTACCTTCATATAACATGGAGATAATAGTCAAATAAATTTTAAGGACACTTTTTAAGTGGTTTACCTACATTGAATATTGTGATTATTTTTTTCTCCTAAAAGATGCATTGAAATAGCCCTTTTTTGTCATTTTTTTTATCGTCGTTGTCCTCGGCCCCCCCCCCCCCCAATCTCTGGGCTATTTGTAACTAAACTCAAGCAAATTTTGGCAAAGACCAGCTGCTGAGCTTTGCTAAAACTCAGATGTACTTGTAAATAGTGACAATTACAATATTAAGTAATTTTTTTAAAAAAAATCCAGCAATTGCTTAAAAGCCTACAAAATAAACCCAACATAAAGAGCAAGCCAGTGGCTGAATCACGTATTTATCTGAATTTCTAGCTGCTTTGGAGCTGGGTTGGCATCACAGGCTATTGGTTATACTTCCTCAGAAAACTTAAGTACATATGCAGAGATCTCAAGAAGCCAATGTAGGGCTGGGGATGTGGCTCAAGTGGTAACGCGCTCGCCTGGCATGCGTGCGGCCCGGGTTCGATCCTCAGCACCACATACAAACAAAGATGTTGTGTCCACCGAGAACTAAAAAAATAAATAAATATTTAAATAAAAAAAAAAGTATTAAAAAAAAAAAAAGAAGCCAATGTATCTGAAGAATTTGAGGGGTCAGTCCTAATAAGGTTATCCCTTTCTCTGCTGCACAAAGGCTTAGTAGTAGATTACAAAATAAGGGCTGAGTGATAAAAATATTTCTATTTTAGCCTGAGGGATTTGCCTGAGTGCCTGTCTGTGGGTCAATTGTCTGAACATCCAGCACTCATTCTCAGCTCCTTTTTTTTGCATTTTTTTCCCTTGCTTGTTTCTCTCCAAACACACAAGAAGATAAGCTCTTCTCCCAATATTAGGCTGTTGAGGAGGCAAAGGAGAAGTATACACTGCAAACCTGCAAGACTGAGTTTGGGTTTGTTGCTGTTGCTTCAAATACTATAAAGCTCCATTGCTCAGGAGGACTTATTTTAACCTCTAGGACTACTGCCATGGGGGTAGCAAAAAGCCTGTTTTTGTCAGTGAGTCAACATCAGTCCTTCCTGCAGTAAAATTTCCAAGACTATGCTACTCTTCCGTCATTTTTCATTCTTAGGATCTAATTCCATCAACCTTCAGAAGATCTTTTTTGTGGCATTCTACTACTGTTAAATAGTTTTTGTTAATCAATCTTAGGAAGGAAAACAAATCGGTGATCTTGCTCTACTATAAGCTACGGAGTAGGTTTTGACAATACTTTTAATTAGTTACAACACCCTTTTTTTTTTCTTTGACATTTAAGGGATAGGGACTTGTGGTCTAACAGTAATGTCAGTTTAGTTCCAACACATGTACTATAAATAACAAGGAAATAGAATTTCTGAACATTAGGATGAGAAGCATGCTTATATTTAAGTTGTTTACATTGTTATATATTTTCATTTAAGACATTATTAACAAAAATTAGATACCCATAATACCACTAAGAAAATTTAAGATTATAATGATTATGCTCAAATCTTTTTCTTCACATTTATGCAAAGAATAATAGTAAATGCAGTTGAGTTTACTTTATGCTTACAAAGCCCCATGAAGTAGGTACAAAGGAACTTTGTTCCCCATTCGGTTAGGAAGAAACAAGCCTACAGAGAACAGGTGGCTTGCCCATGGGCACACAGCTAGAAGACGATGGCACACTGGGATTTCACACAGCTGGTTCCACAGCCTGTTTGCTTTGTTTTGCTCTTTAACTGTGATTTTAGTAGTTTAGACTTTGCCTACTGCTGCATTTCGTTTTTTAATTTACTTATAGTAAGTTTCAATCTTTGATGGAGTTCTTTAAATTTCCCTTTTTTTAAAGGAAACTTTAATACTAGTTTATAATCTACTTATTTTACCTAACTTACCTAATCTTTCCTTTCCACATTTATATTTTAAAAATATTTTTAGTTGTAGATGGACACAATATCTTTATTTTATTTATTTTAATGTGGTGCTGAGGATTGAATCCAGTGTCTCATGCGTGCTAGGCAAGCACTGTACCATTGAGCTACAACCCAGCCCCTCCTTTCCATGTATATTTCTTTAACAATTTTAATGGTTATCAAATAGGTTTCTGTTTTAAGTGTTGACATGACTTAACTAATTTTAATCCTTTGAGACAACTCTATAAGGTAGTTACTGTCATTCATATTTTTGTAAATGAGGATACTAAAGCATGGAAAGGTTAAGTAATTTGCTCCAGGTCACATAACTAGTAAGTGGCAGAGCTAGGATTCAGATGCAGGCCGGCTAAATCTAGAATCTGTGTTCCTCTAAGTATTACATGATGGCATATAGCCTTGCATTATGTGAGTGTACTGTAACTTAAGCAGTCTCTTAATTTTAGATATTTAGTTTATTTCCAGTTGTTTCTTAATCGTTGTCCCCCGCCTGCCTCGCCCCGCCCCATACACACACACAAGACAGGGTCTTGCTAAATTTTCTTTTTCTTGCTAAATTTTCAAGAATGGCCTCAATTTTTTAGACTGATTCAACAGGATGGTGGTTAGGATGTTTCTAACCCAAGCCAGGATTTGTAAACATGAATTTTCTAAGGTGAAATAAAAACAAACAAAACTCTCCAAAAAAAAAAAAAAAAAAAAGAATGGCCTCAAACTTGAAATATTCCTGCCTCAGCCTCCTAAGTAGCTGGGATTACATGTGCCATGTGCTCCTCTAATTCTTTCTGATCCTAAACATTGTTTTTTGTACTTAAGTTTTACTTGCATCTCCTACTATTTTCTTGGGATAAATTCTCACAGATGAAATTGCTCAAAGAACATATACTTTTTTTTTTTTTTTTTGTGTGTGTGTGTGTGTGTGTGTGAGATAGTGCTAGGGATCAAACCCAGGGCCTTGTGCATGCAAGGCAAGCACTCTACCAATTGAGCTACATACATCCCCATCCCAGAACATGTACATTTTTTAAAAAATATTTTTTTTAGTTGTAGATGGACACAATATCTTTATTTATATGTGGTGCTGAGGATTGAATCAATGCCACACACGTGCAAGGCAGGTGCTCTACCACTGAGCTACAGTCCCAGCCCAAACATGTACATTTTTCAGGGCTATATTGCCCGCAGAAAGGTGGTTTAATTTTATTCTTTACCATCACAGAATAAGAGTGATCATGTTCCCTGCACTTGGGCCAGTACTATGCAATACCTTCTTTTAACTCTTATTAAGCTAATGTACTGATGAGCTGATCATTTTTTCAAATGTTACAGACCATTTACATTTATTTTTTGGTGAGCTGCATGTTTTTCTGGTAGAGATAGGTCTAGGTTTAACTTGTAGTAATTGAAAGTGGTCCTTTCTAGTTGTACTGTTAGCCTTTTGGTCTGAGGAGGGATAAGCCTCTGTGTGCAACAGAAGTAAACAGAGCTCTGTGGGAACTGCTTGGAATGTGGCCTCTTCCCATCAAACGCTAGTCTCTGTAAAGTGAACAGGTTGATTCTACAAGCTTACCTCTGAAAATTGGTCTTGTTACTTCATAGTGTGTTATTAGTTTTCAATAAAAGTTCTTCATGACTGCAACAGATGGAAATCTGGTTTAAAATTGTTATGTGCCCTGTCTTAAATGTTAGTGCATTTTGTGAAGAAGGCTTCCTGAGTGACTCATGAGAAGTGTTGGGAAAGTGTAACATTTTGATTCTGGCATTTGAATATTAAAACTTAATAACAACATCCATTTGAGCATTTGGCATAGATTATAGATAGCACTAGTGAAATGAAATGATGTGATTAAATACCAGTCATTTTTTTCTTTGCCTATCTCTGCGAAAGGAAGAATGAAGATCCTCAGTGACCCATCTACTGTGTATAATGGAATCTGTTCTTTTTTGTTGTGGTGGTTGTGGTGGTGGGGTGGAACCCAGGGCCTGATGCATGCTAAGCAAGCACTCTGCCATCCTATAATCCATTCTTTTCCCACCACGTTGACCCTGATCAGATTATTAGTTGACATTTGTGGGGGTGTAGAGCATAACTAAAACAAATCCTGGGCTAGCGGCATAGCTCAGGAATAGAGCACTTGGCTACCATGCATGAGGCCCTAGATTTAGTTCCCCACACTACAGAAAGAAAGAAAAAGAAAATCCTATTTAGGCAAGGCATTCAAATTATGACATGTTATTCTTTGGAGTTCTGTGATAAAAATGTGTATGTAGAGACCCTAGGGAAAGAAAATAAATGATATCCATTTTGTTTCCAGGTAGCAGCACTGCCTGCATCGTGGTGCTGGATAGAACTAGCCACCGCTTACACACAGCGAACCTGGGTGACTCAGGCTTTCTGGTTGTCAGGGGCGGTGAAGTTGTGCACCGATCAGATGAGCAGCAGCATTACTTCAACACTCCGTTCCAGCTCTCAATTGCTCCCCCAGAAGCCGAGGGAGTCGTGTTAAGTGACAGGTAATCTCCCCTCAGCCGTTACATTTGAATAGGATATTTCTCACCCACAGGTTCCCTCCCACACCTTGTATACAGTAGGGAACAGGCATTTTCCTATGAAAAAAGAAGCCTCAGAATGCTTTCATAATGAGGACCTTCTAGTTGGACTTTGAAAGGTATTTTGTTTGAACTAGTTACAACAGTCAACTTGAATTCCGATAGTCAATAATTTGACAAGACTATGAAGTATTTCAGGTATCAATTTTTAATACCAACATGCATTAGTACATGCAGTTTGTCTGTTAATTTGTGTTAGAAAAATGAGTCATTAGTCATTGTTCATACATGCCACTGCCTGTACAAGGTTTTGCGTATATTGTTAGGGAAGCTTATAGACAGACATAATGTTGTATCTGTCAGAATAACTTCCTCATTCTCAGGCCTTCTTATATGCATCCAGTAGAACTGCAGGAAACAGTCAGAAGTGGTCTTGTCCTGCATGTTGTCTATGATAATGTCATTGAGGTGTTCTCTTTTTCTTTCTGACATCTTCTCTCTGTTCATGTTTAAATTGTTAATACCTTCCTATACAGTTAGAATTTTTTTTGAGTTAACTTTCACATCTTTTTGTAGGTTGAAGTAAGGTTAAGACAGTCTCAGGTTTCACTGTGTTAACAAACTTGTAGGATCTGGCACAAACACTGGCACTTCATAAATAGGTAATGAACCTTTTGTAAACATAGAACCGTTCTACCAAGTGCCTTTTTGTTAGGTTGTTTTTTTTTTTTTTTTCCTATTCACTAGCTCTTATTTAACCAGATGTTAAGTCCAAATTAAGATAAAATGATTATTTCTGCCATTTTCAAATATGAAAAGAACACATTATATAATTAGGTATTTGATGTTGCCCATTTAAAATGTCTGTTGCAGACTTCTAGAGAATGGGAAGTACTTTTTACCTTCAGATTTCAGCAGATTACCATAATTAGAAGAATATTCTTCAATTGTCTATAATACACAGTGATATTAGTTTTATTGGAGTGGGGAGACCTCAGAGCCTCCAGCGCCTCAGTAGATGCCAAGTTCAGCTAATAGTTTTTGGAGAATGGCACTTTAACTCTCCTTTATTTGCTGCTGCTTGTTCTGGCTTTTGAGTGCTGGAGCAGCCCTGCTGGATCACACATGCTATCCTTGGGACACCCTGGTTAGAGCCGCACTCTGCCGGCTTGCCAGCAAAGTGAAGGTGGCTTCCCCTGGAGCCCAGAGATAGCCTGCTAGCATGTGATTGCAGCTCATGTTTCAATGCAGTCAAAAGTTCCCAGCGGCACAGTATGTTCAATCAAAATGGGCAGAACTGCAGCTGGCGGAACACCAAGCTCATGGGTGGGAGTATTAGCAGAGGACAGACTGTCCAATGGGAGCAAGTCTCTCACAGGCAGAATAGCAAAGGCCACTCCTGGGGAAAGAAAAACCTCAGCATAAAATAGAGCATCAGTGCCAACCTGGTCATTAATCTACACTTCTAGAACCTGATTGGTTTTCAAAGACTGCGCAGTTGAGTGTCTTGCATAGGAATCAACCTGGTTTCCAGTAGTTTTACAAGTGTGTGTGTTTCCTATCTACTGCATGTATCTCTTTAGTTATTGGGCGCTCTTTCCATAAAATAGTATTTTAGTCTTAACTTAGAGGTTTTCCTTTAGTGACTGTTTTTACAGAATATTTGTTACATAAATGTGTAAGTTTTCCCTACAAAAGCACATTGCAGAACTTTAGAAGTGCCACTTCTTTCCTCAGTCAAGCAAAGAATGGACCAAAAATGTTTTGAGTGCACTAGTGCGAGAACTCAAAAGTTGCGGCAGAGGCGGATAGTAATGCCTCGCCTGTCAATCAATACTGTTGGCAAAATGCCAGGGGCCATACAGACTCAGCCGTGGCTCTCAGCAGAGAAGAGGGTGAGAATCAGCCTCAAAGGCCCACCTGGGGTTCTCTCCTTTTTTTTTTTTTGGACCAGAGATTGAACTTGGGCACTCATCCACTGAGTCACATCCCCACATCACTGAGGTGCTTGGTACCTCGCTATTGCTGAGGCTGGCTTTGAACTTGTGATCCTCCTGTCTCAGCCTCCTGAGTTGCTGGGATTACAGGTGTGCACCACTGTGACCAGCTTCTCTCCCATTCTTTTTTTTTTAACTTTTATTGAAAATGCTTCTGTGAATAAGATGAAAAGGGCTGATTTACATTTCCCATTGGCTTCTTTTTTCTTTTTTGGTGGTGCTGGGAATTGAACCCAGGGCCTTATACATGCGAGGCTAGCACTCTACCAACTGAGCTATATTCCCAGCCCCCTTCTCTCCCATTCTTATGTCTGTTTTCATCACACATTGTGATGAGAAAGATCTCCTACGTGTGTGTGTGTGTGTGTGTGTGTGTGTGTGTGTGTTATTCCTTACTTTGTTTGGCACTAGGGATTGACTGGGGCACTTTACCACTGAGCTACCTACCCAGCCCTTTTATTTTTTGAGACAGGACATCTCTTAAGTTGTTTAAGGCCTCAGCCTTCTGAGTCACTGGAATGACAAGCGTGCACCACTGTGTCTGGCTTTCCATCTGTTTTTTAAAAGCTGTGCACAAAAAATTTAGTGAACAACTTCCTCCTGTCTGTCCCCAGCCACACATTCTCTAGAAGCAGCCACTGTTTCTTTGACTGTCTTCACATTGTTTCTCTGTATTTCGGAGTCTCTACATCTGTGGGTCTCCTCCCTTTTTTTTTCTTTTTGTTACAGAAACAGTTGCATATGCTACACACTGTCTATGCCATGCTTTCTTCCCTTAACAACATCTTGAAGAGTTTTTTCCTCAGTTTGACATACTTTGTTTCTCTGATCATTTGTTCATTCGGTCATTTAACAGATGTTTCTTGAAGATGTACATGCCAGTCGTACTCATAAATACCAGAGCACTTTGTGACCACTGGGAGACATACAGTCCTTACTGTGCCAGAACCACTGCAGGTGTCTGGAATTCTTAGAGATAGGCACGCTCTTCTCCCTGGGTGCCCAGCATCCCACCCTGACTAATGCAGCATCCTGAGAGTGTGTACAGGGGAACTGACAAGTGCAAGTGAGTAAGAGAGGATGGAATTTGGTACTGAAGAAGTAGGAAGTGAAGAGTCACTTCCCCAAGGTCATAGAGCAGAGCGTGTTAGGTCTGACTCAGAAGAGAAGGCGTCCTCCTCTTAATCCACGTGCAACTAATCAGCAGACTCAGTTTTTCTGTTGGTTTCAGTTAACCCATTAAGTCCCCAGTTTTTGGTTCTACAAACATAATTATTTCAAAGTTACCATAAATGGTTTATTTATTGCTCAACTAAGTTTTTTAGGTATACCACATCTGGAACAACGGGACTAACTGGGTTAAACTTTGGAAACTTACATCAGAGTTTGTTTTCCCATTAATTTTTCTTAAAGTTAGGAATTTCAGAATGACTTTTTTTTTTTTTTTATTGACTCCATTTTAAAAGCCTTATTGCATTATAAATGATGCCTGTAGGATCCTTTGAATTATATCATCTCTAAAAGGCTTCCTTAACTTTACCCTACCCTGTCCTTGCTACAGCCCGGATGCTGCTGATAGCACATCTTTCGACGTCCAGTTAGGAGACATTATCCTGACGGCGACAGATGGACTCTTTGACAATATGCCTGATTATATGATCCTTCAAGAGCTAAAAAAGTTAAAGGTAATTAACTCAAAGGTTAGCCTCTGGAAAGTGGCCCTCTCTGGATAGCTGAGTTTTATTGAGTCATTTATGTTGTCTCAGTAGTTTTGGAAAGGACTATTTTGTGAACTTTAGGAAAATAATATTTCTAGTATTCCAAGCAATTATAAAAATTATAAATGGAAATATTCACAAGAGAACTTAAGGGAATAAGAGGCTTCTTACCCAAGCATTTAGTGGAGTGGTTAAAGTAGGAAAAGTCCAGATGAGGACATTTCCTGTTTGTATTTTAATGGTGTTGACTACTGGTTGTCTTTTTCTCTTTTTATTCTTATAATACACCCAGCAGGTGTTGAGACTGGGAAAGACAGGAAATAGCCATCCCAAACCAGCCAAGGAAAGCAGGCAGCTAGGAGCCTTGATGTGATCTGAGCTGTCAGCAGTGGTGAACAATTCAGGCTTCTCCCATACAGAGGGCAGGAAGTGAAAACAGGCTGTCCCTATTCTCCTGGCTTTGTAAAAACTCTGGGAAAAATTAATCTTTTCTAAGCTCTTACCTCTAACTATTGTGACTTTGAGTAGACTTCTTCAATTATTAAGCAATAGTTTCCTCACCTATAAAATGGGGAGTAATAAAGGTCCTGTCTACAGGGTTACTGGGACAATTACCCAGACCAGGTGAAGGGAATCCTTAGCATCATACCATGTTTGTGTGTGCAGTAACTGTTAGGTGCTTACCTGTCATGGGCACTGTGCTCTGTGAACAGAAATTATGCTAAAGCTTAGGTTCTAGTAGGGGAGAGCAGGTAATACGAAGAAGGGAATGTTGGTGGTAAATAGTAATGATGCACAACAGGATGAGGGAATGGAGGGTCACTACTTCAGATAAATTGGTCAGGGAAATCCTCTTGGAGGAGGTGACATTAAAGCAGAGACCTATTATTTCTGTTAGACTGAAATGCTTTAGCCCTTTGAATGTTACAGATGAAATGGACCTTGTTTTCCCATCGCAATTTTGCAGATGAGGAAGTTGAAAACAGCAAAGACAAGGGTATGGCTTAAGGTTACACAGCTAGGCAAGAGTCTTTCGTCATGATGTAAAACCCTGAAGATATTTTCAGTAGTACAACTGGTGACTTACTTGGAGAGCAAACTATAGTTGGCCGGGATGCATTCCCAAGCAGGGAGACTTTTGAAGTCATCATGAAAATGCTATCAGGATCCACTTTTCAGTCCATCCCATTTTAACAAGAATACCTTAAAATTTTCAAATGAGGAAGCAAAAATGGAAACCTAAACTTGAGGGCCAGAGACCATCCCAGCAAAGGACTTTGTGAGAGATGTGCAGGAAATACCAATGGGCTCAGCATGTTAATCAGAGCATCACATTCACTGTCTTCTCTGACCAGAATAAAACTTACATGGTAGAAAATTAGATAAATGTTACTGTCTTTAAAAAGTGATGTCTGCAAGAAGCATACTTGCATGCAGAAGTCACGTGAGGTGTTATGGTTAAAAATAACTCTCTTATCCTTTCATATCAGAACTCAAATTATGAGAGTATACAACAGACAGCAAGGAGCATTGCTGAGCAAGCTCACGAGCTGGCCTATGATCCAAATTATATGTCACCCTTCGCACAGTTTGCATGTGACAACGGATTGAATGTGAGAGGTAAGCATTCTTTGGGAATGTCATAAGGACTAACTGTGGGAGCTTTCTGGCTGTGGGTGAGACTGTGTCAGTGTCCTCTCCTAGCTTTGAGCCTGTGCCTTTGAGCACAAGCAAATGTACGTCCTGTGTCCTCCCACTGGGTGCCCTTCAGAGCTGAACTTTATCGGCTACAGCAGCCAATGGAACCTGAAGCCCTTTATTGCCACCACTGCACTGCTTGGAACTGAGCCCTAGAGGCCTCTGAGCTCTGCCTGGAGGGCCTGTGCATTCCGAACAGTTTAACATTCTGCCCTTCACGTGTCTGACATTTCTCTTCTCCCTTCCTCTGGCTCTGTGGGACGCGTTGACAGTATTTGCCTGCCAAATTGCCAGAGCGGATTTTGAAAAGGGAAGCAATGTGAAACTGCCCTTGACTGAAGAGTCCTTCTATCTACTGCATGCTGTGTCTTTGGGAGCAGGCCAGTTTTGGAGCTGGGATGACATGTTGGTGCTAGCATATCAGAGCTAGTGGAATTGGTCAGGCTCTTGCTGATGTAATATTATGACATGTAGAGCATTTCTTAGCCCTCCAGGAAATGTTAAAATAGGAGAAAACACACACACACGCACACATGCCATAGCAGTTTGGCAGATTAGAGTACAAGGCTATTCCTAGTTTAAAAGCATTGGGTATGTTTGTCCAAATTAGGGTTGTGTAGAAGCATGTAACTTTCTTGTCAGGCTGAAGTTACTGTAACAGATTTTGTCTTTACTGTGATGATGTAAACAGAAGATGTGGTGGCCGTGTTCATAGAGCTCCTGTTGTAAAAGAGCATGGGAGATTTTTTTTTTAAGCTTCAATTAAATTATGTGAAATTTCTTGAGTGTTTTCTGTTTAACTGTTTCTCTTTATCAAATACTTTTTTCTGTGAGGACTTATTAATAAGCCAAACAGGCCTGAAATGCAAGCATTTGACTAGGGATTGAACCCAGGGGCCCTTGACCACTGAGCCACATTCCCAGCCCTTTTTTGTATTTTATTTGGAGATAGGGTTTCACTAAGTTGAGTTACTTAGGGTCTCACTAAGTTGCTGAGGCTGGCTTTGAACTCATGATCCTTCTGCCTCCGCCTCCGAAGCTCCTGAAATTATAAGTGTGCGCCACCACACCCAGCACTAGTACTTACTTAAGACCACAGTTTTGAGTGATTTTTTTTTCCTTTTAAAATGTACTGATCAGTTTTCATTCTTGTTTTAGGTGGAAAGCCAGATGACATCACCGTCCTTCTTTCCATAGTGGCCGAGTATACAGACTGACTCACCGAGCTGTCGACTCCTGCCTTTCCTTTCTTTGTCCCAATTTCCCTGCCATGTGTGCTGATCCTGCTGGCAGGACCACGTTTCTTTGCCACTGATCTCAATGGCCAGTGATGTAAGCCTTTTGCCTGTCTTTTTGAGACCCATTGAGATCTTTGTTGAGAACCACTACTGTCATTCACTAGCTCATGTCTGCTGGCAACAGTTGAAGAGAAGCAAGATTTGAAGATCAGCCTTCATTCTCGTGGAGGTTTTCAAAGGCTATTACTTTTCAAAAGCAGTTGAAGTATTGAGAATGGGTAATGTTGGTAAAGAGAATTCAAAATTACAGTGTGTTAAAGGGATTTTAAGTCTGACAAGTCATAAATTATGATACGTCTGCTAGAAAACATACATTATTCATCAAAAGAAATGTCACATGTTTTCCACAGGCACCATCTTGGTTATGGTGATCAGGTGTGGCTTTATGTTTTCATTATAAAGTCCTATTTTCCAGGAGCTCATAAATATGCTCTGGGTTATAAGATCTTGATCCCAGAAGCTTTTTTGTTACACATTGGAAGAAAAAAGTAATTATTTTAGTTCTATGGATGCAAATATTTTGTGCTTTTAAAAGATGCTTAATTGTGTTCCCGTGATTAAAGTTTTGGCAGTTTATTAATTAGTCCAAATCACAGGCTGGTTACCTGATATCCGGGGGAAGGGGGTATCTCCTTACCAAAATTTTTTAATGGAAATGCTACTCAAGATTGCAAAAGTCCTTAAAGCCTAGAAACTTAGTGCTATGGCTGGAATTCCCCCCGCTGTCTGCCAGGCGCCCTGGGTGGGCTCTCTGGGCCCAAGGCTGACAGGTTGAGAATGGACAGCTGTAGCTGGGTTTTTGCTGGCTCACAGTCGTGCTGCCCATGGAGCCCTCAGACCTTCCCCTAGGAGCCTTGCTTTTGCAGAGCATGCACCGAATCACTGCGTCCACCAGGCAAGAGCACGTGTGCAATGGCAGCAGCACAGAGCCCACAGGGAAAACTCCTAGTGATGATCTGACTTTTGCAATTGCCCCAAACAGAAATGTAGGGGTTTCTGAATCAAGCTTAATGTTTACAGTTTCCGAATAGCCATTTTGCAGTGTATAGTTTCCTTATAAAAACTACCCTGAATTTGGTTTCCCATTACCTGCAGGCTCAAACTTATTTTTAAGGTTTATGTACAAGTTGACTGCTGTAAAGATATATATTTTTGAGTCAGTTTTTTCCTTCATTAACTTGGTGGTAGAAAAATATATATACTTAGAAATCCTTAAATTAAAGCCATGTTTTATATATACGTCAGGTAACATTGGTGTATAGATGAGAATGCAATTAAACCTGACGAGAATCTACTTGAGGAGAACACAGAAAGTTTTTTCTCGAGAGGAGATACTGACTCCCTGGTTTATTGCATTAAAACTTACGTTTGAGGTTACCTCAACTTGTTTTAAAAGATTTTGTTTTGTGAATTTGTACTGTATATTTGAGTAACTGTCAAGCTTTTGTTTTATTTAAAATTGTTTAACATGTACCATGTACATGTCATTACTATATTTCAATGCATCATGCTTGTAACAGGCATTTCATTTATAATAAGAATGAGTTATTCATTTGTAAGCCGTTCAATAATTTATCTACTATTCCTTAATTGGCATAATGTTAGATACCTATTTTGAATCACCTTTAATTAAGTGTCAGAATGCCTTAACTACCCTAACTTGACAAAACAGAATTCTTTGGTAGAGAAGATAGAGGGCGGGTGGGATGTGGAGGGAGACTGTTTAAATAAGGAGGAACTATCATGCTCTGCTAGAATATGGACACATATGTGGCAAGCGGGGTATTTATTTTGCACAAACTCTTTGCAGTCTCTGGGTATTTTAAAAAGTAAAGAAAGTTGCATCCTGAAGGGGTTGGTTAAAAGGAATACATTCAAACTAGGATTGATGACTTCAACTCTTTTGTTTGGGTTTGTAATTACTTTTGGTCAGAAGTATGTAGCCTTATGATCTGGATATATTTTGCATGAATTTTCCAATGCCTCCATTTACTTCCTGGTAGGAGCAGTAACGGTCAGGTTATTGGCTTTTCTCTGCTCTCATTTTAACCCATCAAACAATCTTTGTAAAGCTAGATTGGTGGTGTTTTATACAACTCGTTTAATCAACTTACTTTTTTTGAGAAATGATTGTTAGAAACTGTCAATGTGGTTGTTCCAGTGACACTGAAAATAATGGGGCAAGAATTCATGGTGGAATTGACTTTGGACCTGGCTTGTAGTTTAGTACATAAAATACCCTGTTTTCTTCTTTCCCCTGTCCTTTTTGTGTTATGCACTGCATTTTATGACTGCTAGGGGTCAGGGCGAGTGCTGCTTAGCAAGTAACTCTCCTCCTCTCACTGGTCAGAGGCTATGTGGGACCCAGAATAGAATTCTCCGAGTCTTACACCCAAGCTTCCAGGGGTGTGGCTGAGCTATACCACTTGTTGGGTCTAATTCTGAACCTGATGTGTGTGTGTGTGAACTGTATTTTAAATCAAGCAGTGTAAACACACACACACACACACACACACACATACACACACACACACAATTTGCCTCATGTAGTGGACTTTTATAACAAAAGAAAAAATTTGGATTTCTAATTTACAAATGGCAAATTATTTATCCCTCTCTGGATGCACCAAAGACCAGTAAAGTTTATAGCTTTTCCATCTATATTTATAAAGCAATACTGTATTATAAAAATCAATATTTTTATCACATGCTTGAAATTTTTATTTTGTTCTGTTTTAAAATGTGCACTCAACATATCAGAACCTTGTTTCTTCCTATGAACTTAAGCTGCCTGCGCACAAAAAACAAACTTTTTTTTTTTAACCAAATGGAGATGAAGTAGATAAGAGTCCATAGGCTCTTAAAAACTGGAAGAAGAAATGAGGGGGGAAAAAACAAGTTGTCCCAAATTATTATACTCACATGGTTGATGGGTACTAACTCCTAAAGAAATCCATTCCAGGTATGCATGTCTGGGGTTTGGGCTGTGTCTAGAGTAGAAAAAACGCGATTTTGAGCTTTGCAGATGGGAGTGTCCTCTCCTGTCAGCTGCGTTTGTTCTGGATAGAGAGTAACCCGAAGATGAAAACCACCTTCAGTACCACCAACCTACTACATCATGTAACAAGGCAGGAATTGTGAGAATTTACTGAGTCAGTTTTGAGTGTTCTGGAGATGGTCAGTAAGATTGGCGAGAACTGTGAATGTTTGTACCTCTGGATAAGTTCATGGTTCCTTGTCACCTTAATATGAGCTATCTTTGATAGAAGCTACAAAATTCAGTTGGAAACTGAATCACATTTTTATATTTAACAAATTTTACAATACCAGAAAAAAACAAAATCTGCTTATAAAACAAAATACAAAGCAGAAAACATTTGGATTCTATTTATTTATTAAAAGAAAATTAAATTAAATTGAACTTCTCAACTAAAAATGTCCACGTCAGAATTTAACTGTTAGCAGGTAGTTTGTGGCAAAGATGGCTAAATAATGAAGCAAATTTGAATATGTGTATACTAATAAGCTGCTTTTTTTCTGTTGAGACTATCATTCTTTGTCTTACCCAAGAGGCAATTACCTGAATTGGATGTCTGAAATATAACTTATGCAGGAATAGTTCTGTAAATACATTTAAATAAACTGTAAAGATATTTAATAAATATAGTATTTATACTAATCTGTGTACTTCTTTTGGTTTGAATGGTAATTAAACAAGGCACCAGCCCTTAACATTGTCCAAGCTCTCCATTTCCAGGCCTCTTAGTCAGCCTTCAGTGAATCTGCACTTTGTGGCTGTGCATAGCTGTCCTTCACAATACTTTAATTGCCATAGCTCATTCTCATCCACTGCTTTACTACATCCGTTAGCTCCCTCCAAACTCATCAAAATGGACTCATAACTGAATGTGAATACAGAGGTTTTCTCTGCTGAGGCTTTGCACCTCCTAAATGGTACAGAGTGAAATTACAAAAAAACAAACAAAAACAAAACCTGGTGTGTGTATTCTTGGCACACTATCAAAATTCTAAAACCCAAAGTGTGTACAGTGGAGCAGCATAACTGTCTTCTGCAGGCCATGCTGCATCAAGGCTGCTGCTGAGATTGGTGTCTATTTTTTTAAGATACATATTTTTTAGTTGTAGTTAGACACAGAACCTTTATTTAATTATATGCGGTGCTGAGGATCGAACCCAGGCCCTCGCATGTGCTAGGCGAATTCTCTACCGCTGAGCCACAACCCCAGCCTGAGACTGATGCCTATTTCAATGAAGAAATCAGAAACTTCATCCTCAGCAAGGAGACCTACAGGGTTACTTTTGTGTGTAAAAGTTCTCTATAGTCATCTGCATTTGTTACGAATATGAATTCAGTGTTAATCATTGGTATAAGCATAAGAGACATAAAATTTGGCCTACTTTGAAAATATGTGGGCATTGCCACTTTCCACAAAAAGCTTGGTGAAAGCCCATTTTCATTCACTGAGAAACATCTTGGGATGAACTTGAGTTTTTATTAGGTTATTGTGGGTAGCTATGACTCATTACTAAGCTACAAGAGCCAAATTCATTCTGGTTTCATTTAGAACTCTGTTCACAGTTCTGAAGCATACTAATCCACTCAGCCACCTTTTCAAATTCCTCACAAAATCTGAAGAACAATTGCTTGCCAGTTAACACTTCCTTATTGTTTGATGGTTTCCCAAAGACTTAGCAATAAGATGTTACAGAAGGCTGGTTCCTGGGGTTATAGAACTGCAAACAAGTCTTGGGGAGGGAGAGGCTCTCACCATAAGGTATTACATAACAGTGTTTTTGTACCAAATTTTTAGTCTTGTTTATGCAGGTAAGAAGCTAATTCTTAAAGGGGCAAAGAACAGACATTTGTATCCCACATTCCATTCCAAACCCAGGCTCTCTTGTGTGGAGGTTGCTACACTATTTTAGATAATACAGAAATGTTTGACATCAAGGGCTGGGGGTGTAGCCAGTTAATAGAGTGCTTGCCTTGCATGCACCAGGCCCTGGGTTCGATCCCCAGCAGCAGCAGCACCACCACCACCACAACAACAACAACAACAAAAGTTTGACATCATTTCCATTAAATTATTTTCCTGTATCACATTGCAAATAAAAAATCATCCCTGAAAATCTGTTCTAACTGAAGGCTAATCAAATCTTTTACAAAATACAAAAAGACTCCAAAGTGAGGGAATGATTATTTTTTTCTAAGGGCTACTTCAAAAATCAGAATTTTTTTCCAATGGACAAAAGTGATGTTATTTGAAAAACCTGCATAACTTTTTGCAGTTTCTGAGAGTCCCAAACTCCAAAATGTTCACAAATACAAAATACTGGACTACTAGTCACAAAACTGTTTCAAGACGTCTTGATGCACTTCCATATCTGTTGTACACTAGGCATGAAGACTGGGGCTTAAGGCGAGGCTATCACTGAGCTTTAGATGTGGAGACAGTGCCATTAATCACATCCTCGTCACTGTCACTTGCTATTGCCAGACTGTCCAAAGGGCGGTTGAAGTGTTCTTGCTGGTCAGAAGAAACAGCTCCAAAGAACATGCAAGAAAACTAGAGAGAAAAAAAAAAAAAACACTGCAGTTTATTCCAAAGTGAAAGTTTGCCCAATTAATGCTCAAGGTGACAGCCCTTGCAGAACGCTGCCAGTGTGGTCCTCCTGTCTTATTGGTGATGGCTCATGGGATGTCATTATTGGCCCAACTAGTTCTAAAACCAGACCCTTCCCTAACTTCAGAGGCCCAAGATGACCTTCAGCTGGGGCAGAGATCTGCTGCTGACTTCCCCTGAAGCCATCAGAACTCCAGGCTGAGCCAGACCCTATGCTGGCTGTGTGAACTGAGCCATCTCTTCTCATTTTCCTGCTCTTTAGCCCTGTCTAAAAAGCTTCTGACCCCACCACTTCACAAGCTTCAGATGTGATCAATGAAAATGGCCACATCCTTAAAGTTGGAGGCTGTTTTTTGCCTTCATCCACTCAGGTCGCCCCTCACACTGCCTTCCAGTGCAGTCCCTACCCTACCCTTGGGGCCGCTCAGCAGGCTCACCCTCTTCTACCCAACCTTGAACCAGGGCTCACTTTCAAACTTAGCACAGCTGGCATTTGGGACCTGATGACTGTTGTGGGCTGTCCTGTATTGGGAGATGCTGGGCAGTGCTGCTAGCCTTTCCCCACTAGATGCCAGTAGCACCCCCTTCCCAACTTGTATCATCCAAATGGCCCCAGACTTTACCCCAGGTCCCCTAGGGGAGGAGGCCCGCCCCTGGTTAAGAACCACCACCTTAAATGTGGGCTGTCCTCTTGAGATTACCATCTGTGTGCCAGGGAGTCTTCAAGATTGAACTTCGGTCATCCTACTGCCTGGTTGGTGTCACCAGTTGCCATACTCAAGCCTTGAACCAGGTCCTCAAAACCTAAGTCACCCCTGATCTCTCCCTTTTTCCTTACCCCTTCTAACCAACCCATGTCAAGAGTGTTACCTCCTAAGTTAGCTGTCTCACCTGACCACTCCCTCCACCCCTCATCTAAGGAGTGACCAACTCGGAGGCTGTAACTGAGAGAACTTTCTTGCCTGACCCCACCCCATTTTTCACATGGCTAAAGTTCTCTTGTAAACATTCAACACCATCAACTGTTAAATCCTTTCAAAGACTTCAAATACCAAGGTACTTTATAAGGCTGTTTACACACAGTCCACAGGACTCTCCCAGCATAAGCTGGCCCTCATGTAGCTTCCCCTTGAGCAATGCATTGTCTGCCTCTGGCAATCTGCTCCCAGTTGCAGAACTCAGGCTTCAGTTTCTTAAAACCAGAATGCCCCTCCAACTGCAGGGCCTTTGCACCTGCCTCCCCAAACTCACTTCCTTATCCCTTCCAGCTCAGCTTAAGCACGAGTTTCACACTGAAGACCCCCCTGGCCTCCTGGAGTAGGCTGTTTAGCACCTTAAATCTCAAAGCACCCTGAACTTTTCATTGAACTTATCACAGCTTTTAAAAACTTCCCTATTTTTAGTCGCATGACTTTTATATCTGCATCTAGTCCCTATGCCTTATACCCTCTTTAGTCTCTAAACAAGTTTGGGAACCTTATTTATTTTGCTGACCAGTTTCCCTCACGTGCTCTCCAGGACACCTGCCTGCAGGAAACACTGGTGGAAGTCCATGGGTGTAGCATGAATGAATGAATAAGCCCCATTCTTGGCTCATCTTCAATTTTGTATCAGAAGATGGGGATGCTCTCTGTAAGGTGGCAGTTCTGACAGCAGTGTGGGCTCCTCACTCCACATAGAAAACTCCAGCTTAATAAGGGTCAGTATAGACTGATGTCTGTGACAGAGGCCAGCCAGGAGCCAATTAATTAGGATCCTGTTTGTACTGCTGCAGCCTGATACTTTTCAGACTGTACTTACTATTAAAATATCAGCTAAGCCCACCTGCCCTATAAGCAAATGTACAATGTGTACAAATGGCATATACTTTGAAATTCAATCACAAATACACCTTAATAATGAGTGATTACAATAAACAAAGGACACTTTGGATTAAAAAAAAAAAAACAAAAAACAGCTTGGCAGGGCTGGTGGCATGGTAGACCACACAGTGCCCCTGTGGACTAAGCCCACGAACCTGTAAAGGTGTTATGTCACGTGGCCAAGGGGAACAAAGGTCACAGATGGAGCCAGGGTTGCGAACAGATGGCTGAACCAGCTGGGGGGCCCAAGGTGAGCACAAAGATCCTTACGGGCGGAAAGAGGATGGAGAGGGTTCGAGTGAGCAATAGGAAAAGATATAACAAGCCAGCGCTGGCCAGAAAGATGGAAGGGGATCATGAGAGAAGAGTACAGTGGCCTCTAGAAGCTGGAAAAGGTAAGAAGCAGACTCCCAATTCTCCTGAACGGACACAGTTCTGCTGACACCTTGACCTTCGCCAGTGAGCCATTTCAGACTTGGACCTTCAGAACTGTAGGATGATACGTTTGTGTTGTTTTCATGGCACAAAATTTATGGTAATTCAGGGCTGGGGATACACCTCAACTAGTAGAGTGCTTGCCTCACATGCACAAGGCCCTGGGTTCAATAAATCTGTGGAAGGAGCATAGGAAACTAACACACTGGCTTTCGCCATAACTGCAGACACAATCTCAGTTCCCTTTTATGGGTCTAGCCTTGACCAAGGACTATTGAATGTGTATCATCGTATGCACATATCCCTCAGGGACATTCATGGTGCCCCATGAGACCGGGAAGCTTAGGTGGACTTTGGTTTTTGAGAGCTGCCTGAATTTGCCATTGGCTTGGGGTAAGTGCTATTTTCTATCTCTCTTTGGCCTTTAAATCTCACATGGCTGGATAATGGAGACTTCCCCATGTCTTTCAGTGAGAAAACTTGACAGCGTCCAGGCAGCCAGACAGTAGCCTCAAATCCCATGTGAACTGGGCAAGAAAAGAATTAAAAATATGTATAAATGTTATGTGTGTGTATGTGTGTGTTCCCTATGTTACTGCCCATGAAAACTGTATATAACTCCCTACATTGAAGAAGCCACTAGTCATTATTTAGGATATAGAACTCTGTTATAGCTAATTTTGAAAATCCCCTTTCCCAAAGTAGCACACCTAGCATATATGTGCATGCATGTGCGC